GTCAACCCGGCAACCCGTCGGGTCGGGTCCGGGTTCGATTTTCCGACCCGTTTGTCTACCCGGGTCGGGTTAGGATCGACCCGTTTGAACCCGGGTCAGTTCCGGATTCGACCCGAACCCGACCCGTGACCTGAAATTGACACCCCTAAAAATAGACCAGAAACCGAATAGTGCCGCGTCAGTTTCGGATTCGACCCGAACCCGACCCGTGACCCGAAATTGACACCCCTATCACTTGTTATTTCACACCTTCATCAACAACAAGAAAAGGAAACTCCAAAGATTTTGCCGATTCCTCACTTCTGCAACTTGACCCTTCACACTTTTTCATCCACATTAAAAAACCGATAGTGTTCCATCACTTTTGCTAGATTCACTAGCTAACTTTGACCCGGGAACTTTCGAGCTTACTTCTATGACACCACCCAATCGCTCTCTATTTTCTATTTAAGCTCAATTCTTGAAGCGATCCAACAATCGGCACATCACATCTTCCATGGAGGCATATTGAGACGAGTATATTTGTCTCCATGATCATGACTCCATCTTTTTTCAAGCCCTAACACAGGGTTCTTCATTCTCCCACCCCGTAATTCGCCACCATCACTCCATGACTTCTATTGATCTGCCTTGCAGTTTTAAGATCAGCCTCCAATTTCCCCTTAGATCTCTGCATTTCATCCTGTCTCAAGAAAGGCGCCAGGTCTCACATGATTCTCCATTAAAGCATCTTCTCAAATCTTCGCAGGTTCTATTATAATAGTTGATTTTTAATGGCTTCATGAATGATGGAAGATTGTATGTTGAGTAGTTCAAACAGAAAAGAAAATTTCATCGCTCATGATAGGAGCCATTGAGGAAGAGGATGAGTATGAGATGAATGAATGAATTTTTCCCATCTTGTATCTCCTCTCTTCATTCTTTAGTTAGTTAGAAGTCGTTTCTCATCATACAAGCCTTAATTTTATTTACTGCACTAAGCATTTTTAAATTATCATTCTTCTGATAATATTATCTATGTGATTTGATATTCTTATGAAATATTCTGCATCCTCCAATACATAGACGAAGTGGATGATAATTTACAGTAAATTTCATGAACTTTGTCTACAGTTCCCCCTTTTGTCCAAGTGTCCTCGTTTGGAGAGGATATTAGTCTCCACAAGTGAAACAAACAATGAAGAGATTGACATACCTGACATCCCTGGTGGCCCTGCAGCCTTTGAGATTTGTGCAAAATTTTGTTATGGCATGATTGTCACACTCAATGCTTACAATGTCGTTGCAGTTCGCTATGCCGCAGAGTATCTCGAAATGCATGAAACTATCGAGAAGGGGAATCTCATCTACAAGATTGATATTTT